CGGTTTTTTTCTCATGGGGTCTTTACACCCAGGGTAGCTCCACCTTTCAGACGGGAGAGCCAGGGGCCAGGGTTTTTATCTGGGGTCCCGGTCACCCCGGGCAAAGGCTCCCCCCCTCAGACTGAGAACCCAGGCGCAGGGTTTTTTTTCTAGTGTCGTGACACCCAGGCGAACCTCCCCCATTCAGATGTGAAGCTAGGGGCAGATTTCACATCTGGTGTTCTGACACCCAGGTGAAGCTCCACATTCAGACGGAAAGTGAGGTGCAGGTTTCTCAGATGGTGTCCTGACACCCAGGCTAATCTCAACCTTCAGACTGAAAGCCAGGTGCAGGCTTCTCATCTGGTGTCCTGACACCCAGGCGAAGTACCACCTTTTGATGTCATGCGAGGTGGAGGCTTCCCATCTGGTTTACTGACACCCTGGCAAAGCTCCAACTCAAGATGTGAAGCCAGGTGCGGGGGTCTCATCTGGTGTTCTGACACCTAGGCGAAGCTCCACCTTCAGATGTGAACGGGTGGCAGGCTTCCCATCAGGTGTACTGACATCCAGGCGAAGCTCCACCTTCAGACTGAAAGCCAGGTGCAGGCTTCTCATCGGTTGTCCTGACACCCAGGCGAAGCTCCACATTCAGACTGAAATCCAGGTGCAGGCTTCTCATCAGGTGTCCTGACACCCAGGCGAACCTCCACATACAGATGTGAAGCTAGCGGCAGACTTCTGATCTGGTGTTCTGACACCCAGGCAAAGCTCCACATTCAGACGGAAAGCTAGGTACAGGCTTCTGAACTGGCGTCTTGACTCCCAGGCTAAGCTCGCCCTTCAGACTGAAAGCCAGGTGCAGGCTTCTCATCTGGTGTCCTGACAACTAGGCGAAGCTCCACCTTCAGAATGAAACCAAGGTGATGGTTTCTCATCTGGCGTCCTGAATCCCAGGTGAAGCTCCACCTTCAGACTGAAAGCTAGGTGTAGGCTTCTGATCTGCTGCCGTGACACCCAGGCGAAACTCCACCTTCAGATGGAAAGCAAGGTGCAGGATTCTCATCTGGTGTCCTGACACCCAGGTGAAGCTCCACCTTCAGAGTGAAAACCAGGTGCAGGCTTCTCATCTGGTGTCCTGACACCCTGGTGAGATCTACCTGCAGACTGAAATCCAGGTGCAGGCTTCTCATCTGGTGTGTTGACACCCAGCCGAGCTCCACCTTCAGATTGAAATCCAGGTGCATACTTCTCAGCTGGTGTCGTGACACCCAGGCGAAGCTCCACCTTCAGATGTCAAATGAGGGGCAGGCTTCTCATCTGGTGTCCTGACATCCAGGCGAAGCTCCACCTTCAGATGTGAAGTGAGGTGCAGGCTTCTCATCTGCTGTCATGACACCCTGGCAAATCTCCACATCCTGATGTGAAATCAGGTGCAGGCTTCTCATCTGGTGTCCTGATGCCCAAGAGAAGCTCCACCTTCAGACTGAAGGTGAGGTGGTGGCTTCTTATCTAGTGTCCTGACACCTTGGCAAAGCTCCACCTTGAGACAGAAAGCCAGGTGCAGGCTTCTCATCTGGTGTCCTGACACCCAGAAGAGCTCTACACTCAGACTGAAAGCCAGGTGCAGGCTTCTCATCTGGTGTCCTGACACCCAGCTGAGCTCCACCTTCAGATTGAAATCCAGGTGCAGGCTTCTCATCTGGTGTCCTAACACCCTGGCGAACCTCCACATACAGAGGTGAAGCTAGGGGCAGACTTCACATCTGGT